GAATATTTTCTAAGGAAAATATTAATCCAGTCAAACCACCCCTTAATTGTGACAAAGAATGAAGATTTTTTTAAGATACAACATTTCAAATATTAGCCAAGGCCATAAGAGAGATCTTTAAAAAAAGAAAAAAACACTTTCCCTCAAGAATATCTGCCTAATAAACATAATATAATGTCTTATTTCAACAAAAGCAGTCAATATTAAATTTTTCTTTAGAGAGAAGAAAAATGATCACTTTTAGTTTCTGCTGGCATTGTTTACTGTTCAGAAGTAAAGATTCCAGGAAGAACAGCAGTGACCAAAATCAGGACCCAAATGAGCACTTTCAGCAGAAGGCATGTATTGGCTTTTGTTCCAGACATTTTTAGAGAATAAAAGCAGCAGTTGCCTCCTGTTGATTATCTGCTATGTATTAGATAGCCCACACTAGCATTTTATATACATTATCAATAGTCCCCAAGATAGTTTTATGATATAGGTGTTATGAGGCTTAACAGAGAGAAGTAAAGTAAGGTCCCTTGTATAGTACATTGAATAAATAAGTATTTGGGGAGTAAGCTTTTCAGATCTGCTATTTAGGGATCCATTTTTTCTTATATTATTCCAGTGAGGGCCCCTAATATCTATGATAATCAGGAGGTAGGGAAAAAATTAATTCATGATGAGAGTAACTAAGTATTCTGGACTACAGATGAAGGATGAATAATGATGTATACAGAATGAAAGTTCAACCAGGCTTGGCAGATGTGGCAGAACTTGATTTCAATTCTTCTAAAAGGAAAATATAAAAAATTTCCTAATCTACAATTTAGAATTAAGGGGTACTATGGGTCTATGGAACTATACTGGAGAACTATATTAATAGGAAAATATAAGATCTTTTCACTTTGTTCCAGATCCAATCTACTTAAAGAATTTCTAATTTTTTATTATTGTTTTTACTAACAATTAACACTTTCATTTATGTACTCAAGCACTCTCATGCACCAACCTTCTTACAGCAAAAGTACTATCCTAGAAAAGAGAATGACAAATTCCTGAAGAGCTTATTATTTAACAAATAAACAAGCTTAGGAAACTGCTGATAGTAAACAGGAAAAATCATTACACTTAGTACTTAAAATATTATTTTCAGTTACTGAACTGACGATGATGTACATTAGACTATAGAATAAAACTAGTAATTTTGTTAACAATGAACATATTTCATTTCCATTACTATGCTGAGATAACATAGTGAGAGTAAAATTTACAAAGAAAATTATTTTTTAAAAATAAGAATTCCTGGCCAGGCGCAGTGGCTCACCCCTGTAATCCCAGCACTTTGGGAGGCCAAAGCAGGTGTATCACCTGAGGTCAGGAGTTCGAGACCAGCCTGGTCAACATGGTGAAACCCTGTCTCTACTAAAAATGAAAAAAGTAGCCAGGCTTGGTGGCCTGGCTCTGTAATCCCAGCTACTCGGGAGGGTGAAGTGGGAGAATTGTTTGAACCTGGGAGGTGGAAGCTGCAGTGAGCCGAGATACCACCACTGAACTCCAGCCTGGGCCACAGAGTGAGATCCTGTCTCAAAAAAAAAAAAGGCCGGGCGTGGTGGCTCACGCCTGTAATCCCAGCACTTTGGGAGG